CTCTATTTAAAAAAAAATAAAAGTTAAGTTACTGTAATAAATTTTTTACACGAAAAACAAATATTTACCTAAAATTATTATAATCCAAAATACAATGAGCCTCATCAATCACAAAACGCACTTTTGCTTTGTTATATATATTAATAAAATATTAGAATTTCTTATTTAAATAAAGCTTTTCAGATATAACAAATATTACTTTTATAAACCCAAGAGCAATTTCTTCAAATATCTTGCTTTATTCAATTTTTTTTGTATAATATTCGCATAAATTGACGTATAAGATATACTAAAATATATCAACTCCTGCTATTTAAATATAATTATAGATTAAAAAAATATTGAAAATTTGAAACTAATTTTAATAGTTATAATTAAAAATACCTTTTGATCTTTCATTAAAGCCTTTAATAGACTGATAACTATTATTATTCCTTCGAAAAGCAATGCGTAAATTGCGTAACAAAACATTTTTTCTCCTCCAGTTTTCAATGATACTAATGTATCTTTACCACTTAAATATGACTCTACAGCTTCAAGTTATCCTTCTCGCAATTAATTATACCCAAAAATTATTTATGCTGCTAAAGTTATTATTTCTTTCAGATCTAAATATTTTTGCTTATTAACATAAGTATAATTTTATTTAATAAACGTTTCTGCTATCCCATAAGAATATAAAATAGGCAAAAAGAGTATAAGCCAGTCACAGTTTTTTTATGAAATGTAAGGCAATTCTGATACCTGATAATTGCATTAAAATCTATAATTAATTTCGCAAAAGAAAGATAAAATGCATTTGCTCATATTCTTTCCTTCGCCTTGTATTTGTGCGGAATTAATTCCTATATATGAAAACATATTAGATAAAATTAAACTCTTACATTTGATTTTAGCTAACATGACTAAAATCAAATTCTTGCAGTTCTTTTCGTTTATTAGCATAATTTATAACGCATTCTTTATTACGTTTATCTATAACACTTCGATTATAATTTAATTGATTTTGACATTTCCTGACAAATTTATTTATTGTGTTGATCATGAAAACTAAATTCAAATGATCAAGCAGCTTTACGTACAACTTCTATTATGTGATTGAGACTTTTATTATTGTCAATAATAGCTAATGCATGTTGTGCTTGATAAGAAGCCTAAAATCAATTCGCTTATCAATAAATCGTAAAATTTTCTGATTGAATGCTTCATTATAAGCTGTTTGATAATGAGTAACAAGACTTTATTGTATAGGAAGTTTAAAAATTATCAAAAGCATTTGCCAAAATCCTTTAATTTCTACTTTTGTAAAGGATTGTAATATTGGAGACTGCAATTGTAATTCTTCATTTTCTTATATTAACAAACTTCTTTCTAACAAAGATTATGATTATCTAATAAATGCTGGATTTAATCTTTTACTTAAATATAACGCAATTTTTTATTCGTTGGTGTATCTGATTCATTATTCTTTTTTTCAAACCAGCAGTAAATATACATCTGTTAAAGTATCTCATTATATGTTACTTAAAGTTATAATAATGTATATACTGTTTTTTACTATTAAATCCAAAATAAAAAAAATAAAAAAATTTTATTATTAACAATTAATTACTATATATATACATAAATTTTTTCGAATATTTTTGCTTACAGGTTTGAGATCTGCGTAAATTTCTGATACAACAGGAATATTAGCTAAAGTTTTATTAGAATCTAGATCTCCGTCAATACAAACTTTGAGCCAAAGGTCTAATGCTTTTAATACTAGAATAATTTGTTCCAAAAGTGCAATTAAAATAGCATGTTCCATTTGATGAGAACTTGCATCAAAATTACCCTTTTGTATTACAACTTTTTCATTAGAATTTCTATCTTTTCCTTTTTAGTGATAACGTGAGATTTTTCTATAACATGAAAGATAATAATAGGCTTATGTTTATAGCCTAAATTAGATTATGCTTAATAATTATAATTTATCACAAAAAAAAAGATTTTTTTTTTAATTGAATTTTATGAAACATTTACCTTCAAGATCATCTAAATAAATAAATTCTCTACTAGCTTGTTTGGCATTACAGGAGTGGGACCAAGAACAGTCAAATCTAATAATCAAAACTTTTTTTTCTTTTATATTAGCATGAGCTATAGCAGCATTAAACGCTTGTCTAGCAGATTCTTCAGCCTTTAATATAATTTTAGGAAAAATTTGAAATTGATATTGATGATATGATCGCTTGCAATTTTGGGTAGTAATACCTATAACCGCTAATACAGTTTGCATAGCATAATGATTAATATACTTACCAAAGTTGCTGCTACAACTAGATGTGAAAAATTGACGCCTTTAGATTTATTAGAATATGAATCTATTGTATCATATAATTGATAATTCACGTCAATTGTAACATTAAAACCTATGTAAGATATATGATAAGACTTATTCTAAAGATCAGTATTATAGCAATGACTACAAGGATGCAAAAGTATAAAGAAAGGTATTATTTTATACTAATTAACATTGTTTTTATGAAATTTTTATATCAAATTTTTTATTAAATAATGATGATACAGATTACTTAATTGATGGTAGATTATATTATGGAAAAGTAAGTTTTTACATTATATAATTTTTATAATTTGAATATTTAAATTAATTATAATATTATTCATAATTTTATAGATATTAATGTTAGTTGAAGTTTTACTTTTTTCTAATCATCCATTTATCACTTGCTTTAATACATTGGTATGATTATCATTCTAAAAGATATTCTATAATATATGAATGCCCATATATGAAATTTATAAATTATTATGATTTAATACCTTTTGATTCTATTGCGAGTTTAGTGCATATGGTAAAATGGTTTGATTTTGAAAATGAATTTTTTGTAAATAAGTTTATTTTTTAATTTTTTTTTTTTTTTTTTAACGATATGACACTATCAGTAACTTTATTAAATTTATATATAAGGAAATACAAAGTAAATCGAAAATAAACCTATGCTAAGTACTAGCTATCCCCCGTAGTTATATTACAAACCCATTTAGATCAACCTATCATTGTCTTCCCCCTCCATTACTTTCACTAAGTGCATGCTTAATAAAAAATAATATTAACAAGGAAAGATAAAGAAGACGTCAGTGCCTATCTAAAAATCCGAGAACGCATAGCCAAATTTATTCGCAAAGTGTACCCAAGTCTCCCAGTTGAGAGAGGGGCTTGATGTCTGTCTGCGAGGCAAGGGTGAACTGGCACTTTGTTTACGCTTATCTTGTTTAGTAATACCCAATGAACGCTCTTTAGCGATCACTAAGTTGCAACAGTGTTTCCAGACGTCATTATATAATTTTTGGTGGAAAAGAAGTAGCGAGCGTGAAATGATAGAGAGGCATCACTCTTTGTTGCCAGTTATTTTTTGAACGATATCTGTCAACGAAAATGGGATTCTGGATTGGATGATGTCTGCGTAGCCATTAGAAGCATTTGAGGGTAGTGCAAAAACTGTGTTGAGTACGTTCTCTAGTTCAGTTCGGTGTGTTGTGTATCTGTTTCTGTATGAAGAGCTTAGTTAGACATCAAAGTCTTGTTTGGTAACTGAGATGGTGTTCATTATTTCCGAGGAGTACTTTGGACAAGTCCAAATATGTAAAGCAGTTTCAATGGCATCATTGCAACCCACACATAGCCAGTGCTCGTATAAGTCAGGTCTTAATAAAGTGAGGCGTGACAAAGTAGGAAGTTCATCGATGAAGGTTTTAATAATGAATGATTTGAGCTTACAAGAAGCAAAGGACGTGACAAGGGAAGAGGTGTTCATCAAAAAGAGTTTCCAGATGGCAAACCAATTGATAGATTTATTAATAGTGAGTACTTTCAGTTCATCGTTCCTGTTCAAATCTAAAAAGTTGCCAAAAGCTTGTGCAGCAAATAAATGCTTGAGAAAACCTCTAATAGAGACCTCGATAGGAACGTTTTTAAAGCAAAATGATAGGTCTGATGAGGGAACCTTATTAAGTAGCAAGGCTAGAGAGGGTGAATTACATCCATCCTTAGCTAGCCTGTCTGCTATTTCATTGTAATGATTACCAGCGTGTGCTTTGATTTTGTGAAGTGAAACTTGGAGGTTGAGGTGATTAGTGATGTATCGGATCATATCCAGGTCATGTAATTGGGAACTTTTTCTAGCTTTCTTGGAGACAAATGATTAGAGAGCACGTATTTGTTAAAGCTGTGGATCATTGCCTGGCTATCCAAGTAGACATCTACTATTGCATTGTTAGGGGATACTATAAGAGTAGTAAGAAGAACAAACATCTCAGCTCGCGTAGAGGAGGACCAATTAGTAAGTGAGGCTTTAAAGGTAAGTGGGCTATTGTCAAGATGCAAGCAAATCCAACTGAATCTCATTTTACAGTTGTCAGTCCGCGGTCCTATTAAGGAGCCATCTGTGTAAAAAGTTAAGGTTATTGCATTACTGAAGGTTGATTGTAAATGTTTGAGCTTGGGTGAATGTATTGATGGCTGAATAAAAAGGTCAATGATATTGTCAGTGAACGGAATACTTGGAGAAGGGTCATTGTATGAATTGTAAAAAAATGTGTTAGTGATACGGGAAATTTCCCTAAACGATTGTTTAAGTTAGTTCTTGACTGTATGTGATTGTTTAGGGGTGGTTTGAACTAAGTAGGCCATGGCATACGGGATATTAATGATGCAATGTCTAGATGGAATGGTCTGTCTGCTAAGAGGACAACCAGAGCATTTAACTAACTGGCAAATGTTATTATGAATAATGTTGTGGGTGAAATGGTAACAGATGAGATAGCTACTATTAGAGACATCAGCTATTATTTTTCCAAA